TAACAAAGTTACACAATATTTCGTCTTATAACAGGTTGTAAAATAATTAAGAACCGGGTCGTTTACTAACACATATGTGATTGGTTCTCAGGATCTTCAAGATTACGTGATTTCACATTCCATATTTTTTCCGTGGGAATATTGAAAAGGTAATATTTTTCAAATGCCCTTTTGTTATACTAAACAATTTTTGCAAAAACGTTATTTTGATATTTTCGACCTCTTCTAAAATATTCCAGTAAAAATTGACGCAGATGAATAAAAATTATTTGTCAATATAATAGATACAAGTGATGTTAAAAACTTGTTTTATATATAGTCTCCGCTACTGGGAACTTCAGTGCAGTGTAGACAAAATTTTCTAAATAGATTAAAAAATACTTAATAAACACACAAAGATAAGAGGCAGATCACTTGTGTTAAAAAAGCTAGAGATCAATTGTGTTATTGAAAGGGTGAATTATTCATGCATGTTTATTCGTCATTTATTACTAAATTTGCTACATTCCATATGGCTTGAAGTTCAAAGACCTCTCAAATTAATAATGTAAATTAATATAAAAATAAAAAATTAATAATGCTAAAAATAGCCAGCATAGATAATTCATTTAAAGTATTTCAGTTACACTCATACCATTACTAGACAAATTGTGGATAGCTATTTAAAGTATAATGTTCTCCACGTTTAATATTTTTTTATGTTATTTTTATATCATATAGGATGAGAGAGAGAGAGAGAGAGAGAGAGAGAGAGAGAGAGAGAGAGATTAAACTGAAATTTACTAGCAATAGTGAAAACATAATTATGGATAATGCATAAAGAAGTTCCTTTTTTTCAAACAACTTTCCAGTTCTTTGTGCTTAATATGCACAGATATTAAATCTAATAATTATTTGTATTCCGGTTAATATTTAATAAAATTTTACTGCGTAGGAGGAAGTTATTTATGACACATTCTACTGGTATTATTACAAACTTTGTTTTCTCGATGACTGATTCTTAAGCATTAGCTTCTCTTCCAAGACGTTTATTACGGAGTTTAAGATATCAGTATCTCGTTGACGATGTTTTTCGATGCATTGAAGACTTTTAGGATCTAAATCCGAAATTCCGGCGTCACATAGAAAACTAAGTCCACTGGAGAGTTTTATTACGCCTTCTTTTGGGGTTGACAGTGTATCTCTGTATAAACATAATTAAATAATAAGTAAATAACGATTACTAATCAACTTCTTTGTAATTATTAATAAGCTTCCATGTTATATAATTAGCAATTCTTTCTAACTGAACTAAATTGACGCGCATTATTTTCATTTCATTACGCAGTAGTATTTCGTGTGTAATTTATAGTATATATCAGCAATAATACGATATAAGTATAAGGTGCTTCTCTCACCATACATGTAATAAGATTTTTATGAATCCATTAAAATATCGAGATGATTCGTTTTAATCTTTATTGAGTAATGGAACCTTCTATAATGTTTAAAAAAAGATTCGATATCATCTTGAGTATAAGAAACATGAGCCAATTCCATTTTTTTAAAATGAAATATGAGGGTTTTGATATAATTGTATAGCCTTTAACAAACTGACAATAAGTAACTTCTCCCAAAATATTACTTTTTTCACGCTTAGAGAGGCACTGAATCTTTTTCGTCACATACTCTAAAAGATCTAGTCACAGAATAAAGTTTTGAAAAATTATCGCGGTATCATTAATGAATTCGAAAATATCTGTTTGTAACAAGTATAGTAAAACACTTATATGTATACCGTTTGAAATACTTCTAGTTTAAGAAGTAGTTTTTAAAATGATTAATTTGCAAATATGCGTATGTATATTAATGATCATAACAATTATTTAAAGAATGNCATGAGCCAATTCCATTTTTTTAAAATGAAATATGAGGGTTTTGATATAATTGTATAGCCTTTAACAAACTGACAATAAGTAAATTCTCTCAAAATATTACTTTTTTCACGCTTAGAGAGGCACTGAATCTTTTTCGTCACATACTCTAAAAGATCTAGTCACAGAATAAAGTTTTGAAAAATTATCGCGGTATCATTAATGAATTCGAAAATATCTGTTTGTAACAAGTATAGTAAAACACTTATATGTATACCGTTTGAAATACTTCTAGTTTAAGAAGTAGTTTTTAAAATGATTAATTTGCAAATATGCGTATGTATATTAATGATCATAACAATTATTTAAAGAATGAAAAAGGTAATTTCCAGGATCAAATATAAAAGTAATTTACTTACATAGTTATTCTTTTAAGTTTTATCAAATTGTAAATGAGACAACACTTTACTCTTTCATGAAATGTAGTATAAAGACTGATGTTATACATTTTTAAAACGAATCTTTCTGTCTTTTTTTCTAATGAATCTCATGAATGTTTGATGTTAATGCATACAGAAAATTATTTTCATTAGGCTTTTGTAAGAACTATTATAACAATATACTTTACCATCACTTACAGATTTAATTCTCGAAACGCTAGTAGTATTGAGCAATCCCTGGCACACGAAAATAAAACATAATTCTGCAAGCATAGTATATCTCTAGAGCTTATAGCTGAATCCATTTCTTCTTCTTTGTTGCAATACCTATTGCCTGCTTTTTGTATCCTATCAGATTTATTACGGAATATAACGTTATCTTCCAAATACATAGGAAATAAATTTGATTTGCCGAGACGGGAAATATTTTCAACATGGCCATTATCTGCAATTCCCTCGGTGCCTAAATTAACATTTTTATTTTCATCACAATTGTACTTGCGCTTCGCTCTGTTTGAAATCTGGATACATTTTATACATGTTCTCAAGTGGGTTTCTTGCGAAGTCATTGCGGTTTCTGTGCCAGCTTTCTGAAAAAGGAAATCAACACGATACGAACGTTAACATCAGTGAATATCAAATACTTATACATCTACATTTACATTTGTACACATACAAAAATTTATTTACCGCAGATTTACAATATTGTTTTCGATGATTCCAAAGCATCTGCATTTGTGCTAAATTGTCATATACCATATTGTCGTTTAATAATGGTCGCAATTTTGAATGTATATTATACACGTACTCTGCACTAACAAAGGGTAGTTTCTGCATGTGTAAAATCCTTTCAAGCAGACAATTATTTGGCAGAGTTTCAGCTTTCAAATTACATTCCTGAAAAATTAGGGTGAAAGGATTACATTTGATTTGGATTTATAATTTTATGAATTATTCACATAATATGCAGTCGCCTGCAATTAGCCATAACTAGTTATTAGCCATAACTAGTTATCCCTTGATATAATAATATAATTACTAGAATGCGGAGTTTTGTGCAAAATGAACATTTTCCAAGTTAATTGTAAGAAACAGAAATCAAATGAAAATCTATTTCTTCTTTTAATAAACAAGAAACATCATGTAATATGTTAATTGCAAAATCTAACATTACAGCCTGTTCACAAATTTTTTCTTTCCTCAAGAAAGGTAATTTGTGCATTTAAGCACACATGTATATGTATACATTTTCTCTTCTGAGATTTTTTCAATAAATAATAAAAAATATATTTTTAAATTCTTGTAATATAGCTCTGTATTTTATCTTTTCATTTTTATTATAAAATGCGTAAAATCAACAGTCTAGTGATTACTAGTATCTATTCAGATTTACTAAAGATTCACCTGCACACATTCACTTTTTACATTTTCTCCTGCACTTCACCTGCACATCGTAACGAACGAATAATAAAAAGATTAATAAAAAGATTAATAAAAAGATTAATAAAAAGAATAATAATAAGATTTCCAGTTAAGTCCAAATCTACAAATACTAACATTTACCTCAGCAGCGAAGTAAAGAAGTTTTTTTGCCTTTGCAGCAATGTCCGTGTTAATATAAGTAGTTGGTTCAAGGTCTTGTCTAGTGGAAGTGCATAATTCGTACTCAGGACAAGGCTTGAATCTGTCTTGAGGGAACGAATGTAGAAGCGAAGCACAGATCAAGCTGCAGAATTCGTCGATGTATTCCTTCGTTGTTTTACTGGACACGGAATTGAGAAACCACTCCGTCAGAACATTTTCCAAATCGTTCGAAGATGATTCTTGATTGTAAACAACCACGCCGTCTTTAAATATTTTTAAGTTGTTTTGAGGAGACGCTAGGAGTTCCTTTAAAGCTGATTTCATTCGATGCGGCACTCCGGAGAAAAGATTAAGTGGACAATAGGAGCTTCGGGTTTGTATCACTTTCTTCTTCAGCTGAGAACACAGAGATTTGTTAATTACAATTGTTAATGTTTTGATTGACATTGTTACGAATATAATACTTCTTTATTGCACAAGTGTGATGTCGTTAGGTTCTGAATGATGCATCCAAAATTTTCCAAATGCGACAAATGACATACAGAATGGTTTACCTAAAGGCAGCCACTTAAATATGTTCTTCAATGGTGATAGTATAACAAATATTATTGTGTATTATGAATTGAGAAAATCCGAAGTTGAGGCAACGAAATAATAGTATAACTGAATTTTCTTCATATTTTGTAACGCTTTTTTCACATTTTTTTGACATTATAATAATCAGACGCGAAAACAAATTGAATAAAAAGAAAGTACAAATAATTTTAAAGATAAGAAAATAAAAATGATTAAATTAAAAATCTTTGAAATCTATAAGGGAAGTCGAAAATTGATTAACAACTTATTAGAAGATATGATTAACTATAGTACGAAGGAAAGCAATGGATGACCTTATACATTTTTCATCATTGAAAAACATCATTTTGCTTACTACATCAATCTCTTGTCTTACATCGCGAAGAAATGCTCGTAAAGCTACAGTTAAAACTAATTTTAGAAACTTTTGTCATATGTTGCAGATATATGAGAATATTATATATCTAAAAATGAAACGTAAATCTGCATTGACAGCGGGAGATCTAGGGAAAATCTTGCCAGCTTCGCAAAACCTGTAGATTGGTAGAATAAGAGGTGAAAAATTATAGTTACCGAGGAGAAAAGATTCAATCAGAATAGTTAGATAGCTACAATTATTGCTATCATCGCAAAGAAAAGTAGGAATTGACGTAAGTGCGGTTTCAAACGAGCAAAGCATTCGACTATGACATTGTTGATAGGAATAACATTTTTTATTACAATATTGCAGTTTACGCTATTAAAATTATTAACAATCATTTTTTATCAGAGAATAATTCACTGCTTTATTGACCATTGTTCATCCAGCATTTCTAGGAAAAATAAATAATTTAGATCTTAATGAAAAAAAAACTGCGTTAACCCTTTCGCTACGGTTATATTTATGTTCACATTCAGCCGCATATAATAATGTGGGAAGATCTGATATCGTTATACGATTAAAAAATAATTTAATAACTTATTATAAGATTAAAGGAATCGGTTATTTTATTCTTTAACGAATTGATTGGTTGAAGTCATAGAATTTTGAAAATCCTATGTAATTCTCTATTCTATAGAAAATTAGATTTTAAATATTAAAAAGTATTATGGATTTTTTTCTATTTTTTTTTCACTTTTAGTAAACAAATGTTTCAGTTTCAAATGTTTCAGTGTTATCTTACTAGAAAGTTATGTTTATATAAATTTGAGTTACATAAATATGCATATAATTTAGAGGGTTTCTATCAAAAAATGGTCCTAAAATGTTCTCTGTGTGAACAAAATATTCTCGATTTGATCCAAAAGTTTTTCGAATACATATTAAAATAATACTTTATGTACGTGGCAATACACTGAAATAATATCTGTCGACTTTTATAAAACTTTCCCAGCAAATAGTCTGCATCTATTTGACTATAATAGCTTCGTGTGAGACATAGGTACCTACTTCAATTTGTACAATTTTTCGAGATTGCAAAAAAGTAATTCAAGCCGTTAGCTTTGCAGGTCTGAAAGAATATAATTAAACTTAATTTCCGAATATAATTAACTTACACATTAATTCATAACATTACCTTATGATACTGCATCAAACAGTACGGACATTTCTGAAATTTACAATTATCCTCTCTCAAGTACCCTTGCTTTGGTTTGATTTCGACGCAGAACGTTTTGTTGCTTCGAAATAAATTCACATTGCTTTTTGTTTGTAGGAAAGTATAATCTGGGTATTTCGTGACGTGAGTCTCTGTGATTATTTTGTTGCGCCGTTTTTCTGCAAACACGAGAAAATTTATAGTGGTGATAGTGTTTAGGAACTGAATTAAAATTACATTACGTCCCAGTCGCTTTCCAGCTACAAAAATCAATATTTTTATTGTGTCCGTTATTTCAACATTACTGAAAGTGAAATTCGGCGACAGTGAAATGACTCCGAGAAACAGTTAATTCTTTGTCACTATTCTGTATTTCACTGATCCATTTTTGCCACAAATGTATAAAATTCGCTATCTAGACATGACAAATGTAGTATAAATATCGATTAAAGCAGCTTAACAGTGGCTGGGAACGTTGATCCTTAAAAGTGAATTTATTAGTATATTAAATATTTGTAATATGTGAGTTTTGAGACAGCAGTATAAAAGTATCAATTCTGCGCGATATGAATGCAGCATGCAAAATGAAGACGATACATGTGCACGCATGTAGTGCAATATTGAAGCAACGAACCCACCGATTAAAGTCATATTATTATACTTATAAAACGACTTAAAATTTCAAGTGTTACACGTTTGACTGCATCAGTTATCGGTGACCCTCGCCGTAATTGACGAGTTAATAGGCAGCTTTCATTGCATTATATACAGCAGCGTGTTGTGCATTTGTTAGACCTTAAAAAATCAAACGCTTGAACGCTTTCGTTACGGCAGTTTTTAATGCACATCGTGTGAGCAGCGTATGATAATTCAACTATGAACTATGTAATTCTTCATCAGCGCACATTTTTCAGATGTTCCATTAAGGTGATCAGAACAATGACGCGTATTACATGCGTTTGTTGTAATTTCTGACCAGACTTGCCTTTCTTGGTAAGAAAAGTTTGTTTGAATTTACTGGCCGGCAATATGTGTTAATAGTTTATCAGAAGCAAATTTTCTGATTAAACAAGTACACTAGTATTGAGATTTTCACAAATTTTGCAAAAAAAATTAGTTTTTCACCAAAATGCGATCCTTGTACAGAATAATATATTTATTTCATTTTCAATTTATTAAAGTATGAAAATGATCTTTTTGCTTTATTTGATGTAAAACTTTCTACACATACATGTATATGTATATCATAATTGCATAATCTTCGAAGATCAATTGATGACATTTCAGGTAAATATTTCTCAGAAATGATGAGGCGTACAATAGAAATATGTTTAAACGCGACCCAATTTCGAAAATTTATAGGAACAAACGATTTTTTTATATTGCAACATCACCCCATTAGTGAATGCATAGAAGTTGTCTAAAACACCAACGCATATCGTTCGTTTGTGTTTGTTGAATCCGTGTTTGCATATTCTTCATTTTGAGTTTGAAAATAAACATTCCTGTGGCAGTTCGGTTGCGAAAATATCCCTGACTGCTCGGACGTGATCATTTTCTAAAAATAAGTAACTGGAGAGTTGCCCTGGAGGACGTAAGGAGAGAAAGTACATGGAAAAGGGACAGTCATATGCAACAAGTGCAACCGTGTGGATATTATCATAGAATTACTTCCAATTCCTTTTTATTTATAGCCAAAAACCACGAGAGAGAGAGAGAAAGAGAGAGAGAGAGAGAGAGAGAGAGAGAGAGAACGTAACTATCGATAAATCGTAAAATTATGTACAGTTTCCACATTCGAATGTCGAATAGTGGTCGAATATATGGATCATTAGTTGAAAACTGTTTGAGAAATTATTCAAAATCGACAATCATTCTAATATAACAAATTATTTGAATTAATATAATGTAACAACTCCTTTTGAAATTATTATTTAAAAGGACTAGAAAGCTTCTTATACACAGCCCAGTCATTAAGAAGTGTTAAGAATTGTACATGTCAACAGAAGAGAATTAATCGATTATTATGACAGCTTCAACTATTAAACATGGGCTTATTCATTGTATTTTAGGTACGTCAAAAGTCATGTGTCAGATCTATAGGATAAAATATGGAATTGATATCTGATTGTAATATGGAATTAAAATCTGAATTTACAAGCTTACTAAAAGTAAATGTGTTCGATTCTTCTTAAATAAAACCTACGCAAGAAGATGAAAGAGCTAATCTGTAATTATTTTTACATAGATAAATTCTTCAGGGGGCAAATGCTTCGAGATTTCATTCAAAGAAGTGAAAAATGTTAAAATTGATAGTGGAATCTACTATAGAGAGAGAATCTACTATGACAAGTATGTGAAGGAACTTAAGAATTGCTACTTTTGTTATTGAAACTGAATGTCTATTAAATATATGATACAAATGAATAAATGTGGTTAATTCTTTAAGAACGATTAGTGTATCGTCCACCAATCTGAAATGTTTAATTACAAAGCCATAACAAGCAGCGACAATATTGGTGTTTGTTCATTGAAAAGAAAAAGAAAGAAAAGAAGCAAAAGAGAGCTGCACGACGAAAAGAGGAAGGAGAAAATTCCTTCTTCTTTTTCCATTCGTTTGGCGTTCTCGTCAAGGCTTCATCTTTACCATTTATAAAGGTTGCACTAAACTAGAAAAACAGCGCGGCTGCTCCGCTTAACATCTTTGTGAATCCGTGATACCCAAACTTCGAAAAGTTGATCGATCGATGACACTGCAAACGATGGTTTCTTTTTTTTATTTAATTACTGCATAAGTATAATCTAGCAATATTGATATTAAGTACTGGAGGTAAGAGAATATGTTGGCATGAATGTGCATACACCTACTCGTGTATCACTGTGACAATTACTGGCTTAGGTCAGTTGAATCTGAGAGATAGTTGGAGAAAGTAGTGTCTTTTCAGCCTTTCCCGTTTGTCACTTTTATCCCAAAGGTTGAGTGCAAGACTGTTTGGATAGTTTTGTAGTCGTTGATATTTTGTGCTGAGTCGAGCAATTTTCTACCTCACTGTACGGATACCGGTTTCATTGTTTATTTGGCTATACCATTCTGCTACCATTCTGCTTTCAGAAAATGGATCTTAGTTTTTTATTCTGTCATCTTTGTATAATTCTGATGTTAGAGTTTAATGCTGTACGCCAGGATTGACTGACACACGTCCAAATAGGTGTTAGGATTATCTTGTATATTAACAGTTTGTTGTATGTTGTTAATTGCGATTTTCTTGATTGCGGCATTTCCACGTTATTCAATTAGACTGGAGGGCAGGTATCTCTTTCTATCGTAAAAGTTCATGTGTATGGATGTGAGGTATTTATCTTCATTCTCCATTTTTTTAGTCAAACGTCGGCTCCATTTAGATGATGTATCTCGACGATTTAAAGTGAATATAAACACTATTATTTTAAAGTTACGACTTCATGCTTAACTTTATATATTATATTATGGTATTATCTAATACGTATTATGTTCAGCTATCACGTATAATATAATTATTTAACTTTATTAAATGCAACGTATCCTTGGATAAGATATGGCAAAAGGTATTGTCACAGAAAAGTTACGAATTTTTTAAATGTTGTGTTAAATGTTGTGTAACAACATGCACAATATAAAATTGTGAATCATCTGTAAAGCGGATAGCTAACGTGATCATAACGGATATAACGTGTTCATTCAATAAACAAAATGCTTTTAAATTGTTTCTTTCACTTCTATTCTCATACATGTTGTAATAGATTCATTAAATTACCATTTTCCTATAAGATAGGTTACACTGATTTTACATTATAATTCAACAATATTCGATGGTGCTAGACACGACAACGTTATAGTGGAGATCTGTCCAAGTATTTTCACCTTATTCCGGGCTTAGGAGTCTGACGACTAGCTACGATAAGCCAAAGCCATAAAAAAGTGGGGATAGCAGTTATCTGTGAGTTCTTGATCGTGTAAGAGATCGAACGACGACGATATTGAAGATAATGCCTTACTCACATAACCTGACCTTATCACGAGAGTAAATATACAGTGAGACTATAAGCTCCGAGCTCTCCAAAACTAAGTTGCACAAGCAGCAGATGAGGCAACGTAGGTCTAGATCAGCACTTTACTATCGATATTGCTCTCTTTTCATCGGCTGTCTGACTGTAGGTCTGCATAGAAGAAGACTCTATCTAGTACACTATCAGAACTGGGCTATTGGGGGAACTCGGAGTCCTGGTGGCCCCATAACCACTGCTAATACTAGTTGAAAATAAATGTACAGAAGATATAAGCAGGGAAATGACCGAAAGATAGAAAATAGTATTTGAAATAAAAGATAAAGATATTAGGTGTACGCAAAAGTTTGATCAGATTTTTCTTTATTTATACACGATATATGTATTATAAATTCGTTTCCCAAATGTTTTTGAAGACTTTCGTTTTTCGACAATTCTATAAGAAGTGGGAGATGTAGAAAACTTCTACATTTTCCTAATATTTCCAAAGGTTATTTTCTAAACTAACAATAAGTCGGCATTAGTTAATTTTGTACAATTATTTGTATTTATGTTCATAGAGGCACAGCTTGAAATGTTTACTTGATATTCTAAGTATGTATAATATGTACTTCAATTACGTATTTTTAACATGAATTTCAAATAATCAATTATTAAAAAAATTTCCATCATTATTCATGTACTGAAATGTAATTGAGTTTCCTCTCTATTAGGTAGCTGTGGATTCATCTTCATAGTTATAATTATGTTTATATTCACGTCGTAGAGTTTAATAACATGAAATATTAGTTGAATTATTAAGTAATTTTGTAATTAAATATTCTTATCTTATTGAAACTGAAATATTTCCAATATGGTTTGATGAATATTCTAATATTTTTGTACAGGTAATCGTGGATATGTTCATGAGTAAGTTAAAAATAAATATATTCTGAGAATGTTGAAAATTATTGAATTTCTGGAGTGATAAGAGTAGCCTACTCTTAGGCTGGCAGCTTCGACGATCTGTGGTTTTCGTTATTCGGTATTTCAGTGCGACAGCGTAGATGCTCGACATTAGATCAGTCACATCGAAATGGTAATTTCGTGAACTAAAGCTCACTTCGAGGTTCCTAAACTAGGTCTGGATTAGGTT